GACGACCCGACTTTGTTGGATCGCTCACAACCACACATGAGATCCGAGGAAGAGTCCTCCTCAGCAAGAGTCCGCAGTATATATATGCGCGGGGTTAGCTTACCCTCCAGGAGGATGCTTGGCGCGGAAGAGGCCCTCCCGTTGAGAATGCTATCAGCGAATGATAACTGCCTTTTGACAAGCAGCTCCTTGAACAGGCAAGACAAGCAGATTTGGTATCCGCTTGACAGGCTGGGTCACCCTCAAGGACCATACTGGACAGGGTATAGTCCCTCTGGTGAGCATGCTTGCCGGGGATGACTGCCTATCGACAAGGAGCTCCTTGACCCGGGAAGACAAGCACATCTGGTACCTGTTTGACTGTCTCATCAAGCTATTAGAGTAGCCACTTATTGATGAGGCCACCTGTGAGGTAAGCAGATACTGAACACTTTGCTTATCCACAACAAGCACTAGACTACAACAGATCATCCAGAACCTCACACACACACACAATACAAATACAGACCAAAAAGATAAAAAAAGAAAGAAAAACGAGGAAAAACCGAAGAGGAAGAACCGGAGAGGAAGAACCGAAGAGGACAGAAGGAATACCGTAGAAACTAAACAGACAGCCCAAGATGAGAAGAGAAAACAGATTTATGAACTTTTATGGAATTTGCAGGCACAGATTGCTAAGGTGGTCAATTTGAGGAATTTGAGGAAGAAACGCTGATGACAGGGGATTTAGAGCTTCGACGAGATAGGGTGATAGAGCGAAGACGAGAGGCAGAGAAAAACTTAGGAGAGGATGGTTTAGGGTGCTTAGCTCTGACGATCATCTTTCTGAAAACTTTGTTGACTTTAGAGAGCACGGTCATCTCTTGCTCAATCTCAATCTCATCGTCGTCTTCAAAGACCGACGGAAGCACATCGGATTGACAAGGCGGGCACCCAGGGGCTACCCTCTTAGGCATCAAGTACATGGAGAAGTCGTCGAGTGAGTAAACATTTCCTGAAGACATCCTATAGTAAGATATAGATAAATGTAGAACAACGAGGTTTGCTGAACGAGACAAGGAGGGTGGGGGTGAGGAGGAGAGTTAGTAAGCGAGGCGGTTAGGGGGGGGGGGGGCGGGGATGGATAGCGTTTTGGGGTTGTTTTACGGTTGTTTTAGAACAATGGGGGAGTACTGAGAAACTGGGGTGTGGGTCAAATTGTCTGAGTGGGATGAAGGAAGGACGAGATTGGCAAACAGGTCTGGTTTTATAGGCATGGGAGGTGAAGTCCGGCTACCCATCGGGGCCAGTGGATTCTCATTCGGACCGTTCTGTTTGACCAGCGGGGCGGAGCCATGCCTGAGCGGCGTGCCAGTTTGAATCGGAATCCGAGCCAACTGGGCCCGCCGAAGGTGAGGGCCAAAGTGAGCCGTGCCCGTCAGCATCCGAAATTGATCATGAATTGGGACTGAGCCTGGGCCAAAAGACATCCGAATCCGGTCCCGCTGACCGGGGGAATCAAAATCACCCATCCGGGCATATGCTTTCCGGCCCAAAGGAATGGAGTGACGCACTCTTTTCTAA